CCGCCTAAGCTAACGGTATTGTGTCCTGTAGCTTTATCCGCTTCCAACGGATAGTAGTTTTTATTTGGAGGAGGAACGAGATATTTGACGGCCTACAGAAGCAACAATTAATCCAGAATTCAAAGAAAGTAAACGCAGCCAAGCAGATGAAAAATGAGAACCTGGCCTATGTCATATCCAGCTTGATGAAGGAGTGCCATAGCATGTAGAAGAGTAACGTCGCGAGATGCAGCGGCAGCAGTCATATGAAGAGAAGGGAGCTTAGTGGACGAAGAAGTATCCAAAGCACGTGAAAACGTCCCAACTGCTCTGAAAAAAACCAACTATCATCTAAAGAGATGTGAGCTGATAGGTTTTTATTATGAGCTCTTCATGACAAATTAACAAATACTAAAAACTTCTTATGAAACAAGGTTTCCAAATTGAAGAGAAATTTTGAAATAAAATCACTGAGTCTGAAATCCTTCTTCAGAAGAAAAGCGAACAATAAAATTCTCCACTGTAAACTGATTTCCTGTGAAATAGTGGAAACTGAAGCTGGTTACTTCTTCGAAATATTTACAAACATAACACAAGAATTCTTTAAAAACCTGGCTACGATGAGGAACTGATCCATATCTCGATCCGTGAGTGAATGATGAGGATGATAAACGAGTACTTCTCTTTCCGTTTCTGATGGTGCGCGGATCGTCCCTCGCATGTCGCTGTCACTTCGTTCTTCTTCATCGTCGATCATTAGCTCATCCCTAAGCAAGAACACAACTCAAGAAAATCGTAAAGTGATTGCAGATGTCTCACCCATCGCCATTCTCAACTTTATCCTCACACTCCATTGTCTCAGGAACCTCAGCCTGATACTTTTCCCCGACACGGATAGCGCCTTTATCCGCGAGCAATGTCATTTGACTTGGATCATATACAAGTGAGTAAAAGAACTTGTCCTGGAGAATAGGGTTATCTCAAGAAGAAAACGAATGCAGGCGGTTTAAAAACAAACTTCTCCGTCGTAGCTCGAGACTGTCTCCACCTCGCTGAGTAGCGTAACCGCGCACTTTCCACGAATAAGGGTTGCAGGAAGAGTTTCTACTTGTCTAGATAGGAACAGTTCTCGCTGCCTGAAAAGGAAAAAAATGTAGAAAAAGTTCAAGCGTGAAAATGTGATGCTTTGGAACGCTTCATTTGACTACTGTTTTAGTGATTTGATACAAAGTAGTTTTAAATACATGTTTACATCTAATAACTGAACGAGATGCAAAGACAGAAAGTAAAGTGTGCACAAAATTATGCTGTAAGTCTGTTACATAAAGTTCCAAGAACACGCCTCTTGATTGTTGATAACATTTCTACTTCGAAAACTGTTTAGTTTAGGCACAATTCGAAACTCGGGCTTAAGATAGCGGACCTTTGCCTTGTACTACATACATTTCGAAGGGCTAGAGTAAATCCCTAGATCCCGAAAATTTGTTTAAGAGCCTGCTGACGAGCTCATTACGAGCATTATGTACATTTGAATTAGTCGTTTGGAATAAACTGAGGAATTGGATTTACAAAACAACTGCCACAGTTTCCATTAGGATAATTACAATACAGAATAAATATAGATCTCAAGCTCTCCATTATACACAAAAATCGGGGATTCTAAAGAAAATATGGAACGACATTATAAACTCCTGTAAGAAATAAACTTAATATCAAGGACTAATTCGATTAATGGTGAAATTTATTTTAAACTTCACTGTTTTGCGTGATTTGCAGAATTGCGAAAAGCAAACTAGGGATGCATGAGATTATAAAAATATTCTTTACTATATGTTAAATCTTTGACGCCACCATATTTAAAAGCACAAACTTCTAAAGTTTAGAATAATTCTTGATTGTACGTTGCAATATAGACGTTCACATCATAGTTACTAGGATTTGGTACAACAAATTTGTTCCCAAAAATCTGTCACGCATTATTCACTAATACATCTAGCAGAAGCTTGTTGTTAATGAAATTTGGAAAGAATTTAGTCATGATGAAGGATTGTTATTGTACTAAGTGTACTGATCCAACTGGACTAGTACAGGAATAACACCTGCATGACAACAATTCATTTACAACTAGATCCATACCCCCATCGGAAGAAAACTTCTAATGTTCATAATTCAAAAAAAATAGAACAGAAAGTGATCACCCGGTATAACGTATACTTTACACATACCTCATCCGATGCCTCTCGTCATCACTAAGCTTCTCA